TGATTCTATGAAATACTGATTTGATAAAATACCGATTCTATAAAATACGGTTTCTATGAAAAGTTGTTATGACCAAATACGATTATGATGGTTTATTGGTTCGATGAAATACGGATTTGACGAATTACGGTTTCTATGGAATACGGTTATGACGAATTATCGTTTCTGATGGAATACAGTTCTGATAGATTACCAATTTGATGAAGAACTAGTACGATAGACTGATGTTGCGACAGAATACGGATTTGATAAACTACTGCCTCGATACAATATAGTTCTGATAAGATACAGATATGATGGAAAAATGACTCTCATTAATACTATTTCGACATAAAACTGTTTGATGATTTATGTATTGAAATTTTATATTTCGATGAAGTACGGCCCGATGTTTTACAATTTGATATTTCACGGTTCTACAAAATACAGTGTCGATTCTATACTATTTCGACGGTTTACCAATTCGATAAAATATTTTTCTATGGATTTGAATTCGATACTTTATATTTTGACACATTAGGTGTCCCCCCCTCAGATGAGCACGAGGGAGAAACAACAAAACAACAGAAAACAAGAAGGGCAATGGTACAAGAGTACCATGAGCCACCAGAGACAATCTTGACCGCATTCACGGAAGATGAGGTTTTTGAAACACTTAACAACATGAAAAAAAAAGGCTCCAGGGCCTGACAAAATACCAGTAGAGGTGTTACTAGCACTAAGTCCTACACTCATACCAGTTCTAACCAAACTATACAATGAATGTCTAAGGCAGGGCATAATACCAAAAGTGTTCAAACAGGCAGAAGTAGCTATAATAAACAAAGGGGAAGACAAAGATCCATCGAAGCCAAAATCATATCGACCAATCTGTTTATTAAATTCAATGGGTAAGCTTCAAGAAAAACTCTTATGCAAAAGACTTGGGCAACATAGAGAAATAAATGGTGTCCACCCGGATCAGTATGGCTATAGAGCCGGAAAGTCCACGGAGGACGCCATAAATAAAGCGATAACAACAATTGACAGTAGCGAAAGAAAATACGTAATAAACATATACATCGACATATCGGGAGCATTTGACAATCTCTGGTGGCCCGCATTATTTGAAAGACTTCGAGAAATGCGGTGCCCGGAAAAACTATATAAAAGCTTCAGGAGCTACTGTCAGGATAGATATGCAAATCTGAGCTGTCCCATAGGCAAAAAATCAAAATGTCTAACAGAAGGCTGTCCTCAAGGTTCGGTGTGCGGTCCAATTTTCTGGGACATCATGCTTGAAGAGCTACTAGATCGTATGACAAGAACGGAAGACGCACTAGGCACCGTTGCACATGCAGATGATCTACTGATAACAGTGGTCGGAAACAGCAGAAGGGAATTGGAACAGAAATGCGACAATGTCCTGGAAGTTGTTCACAGATGATGTGGTGATACGAACCTGAAGATATCTGTAGAAAAAACCACATACAACATAGTAAAAGGCAAACTAAACAGAGACCCATGAATAAGAATTGATGGTCAACTCGTCAGAAGAACAGAGAGAGTAAGATATCTGGGCCTCATAATGGATGAGTCCAGAATGATCGCTTACCACATCACTGATGTCTGTAACAGAGCATCATCAGCTATGCACAGAATAACAAGTCTAGTGCAGAGGGAAGTAAGATTGCCGTTTAGAGAGGTGAGAGTATATCTAAGCGTGGTACTGGCATCGATCACTGGCTATAGTTCAAGCGTGTGGGTACATAAGCTGCAAAATATAAGAAATAGAGAGAAAGTGGACAGAACACAGAGAGGATTCCTGGTTAGAATGACAGGAGCATTCAGCACCACTGCAACACTGGCCCTGACAACACTAGTTGGGGTCATGCCGATGCAGTTGGATCTGAAAAAGAGAGCAGCCATGTACTGGATCAGGCGTGCAGACTACGCAAGAGCACAAGCTATTATTGGGACAGAAGTAAAAACAAGAAAAGACGTTGAGAGAGAAATATCGATCCAATGGCAAGAAATGTGGGATAACTCTGATAAAGCAAGAAGAGTCCATGAGGTAATACCAGTTCTAACGGAAATGCCAGAATACTTCAACCGGAGTCCTGGACTGGTACATCTGATCACAAGACATGGGCCGTATCCAAGTTACCTGTGCAGATTCAACTTAAGGGAGAATAGCCTGTGCGAGTGCGGAGAAGGAGGCAGGCCTGAACACGTAGTTCTGGAATGTCCTAGCTTCGACGATAGGGACAATATGAGGAGACAACTACAAGGATTACACCTTAGAGAAATGATAAATAACGAGAACACATATGAGATCCTAAATAAGTTATCACAAAAAGTATCATCAAGACAGCAAGAAATATATAATGAAAGAAGATGAACGGGGAGGAAACGTTCTGGACAAGGGCCAAAGGCTCGCCGAACCACCCCCCGGAAAAAGTAGAAGAAAGAAGAGAGAAAAAAGAAGAAGGAAAGAAAACAAGGAAGAAAGAAAAATTGCACATGTCTGCCAACCTACAGTGGTTAGGAAGCAGGCTAAGTGTAAGTAGAAATGCATGCACTTATACATGTATGCATGATTGCATGAATTACTATACTTCAGATGTAAGGCATGGTAGAGTTAGAAATATTGCATGTTAATTAATTGCATGTAACTGCATGTGGAAGTAGATAGAATTACTAACACTAGATTCAAGTAGACTTTAAGTATGAATAAGCGGAGGTGCTAGAAAGCTTTTGAAAGAACGGTGACAAATATGTAATTAACAAACACAACACCACAGCATGTGAAAAATTCCAACACCTAGTAGATTAGGGCTATTTACTAACGAAATTATAACCATAGGCATTAGCGAGAAAAGAAAAATAGAAAAGACTCAGAACAAAACAAAATACAAAAATGGAAAAGTACGATCTGTTTTAAAGTTATAAGATAACAGATAATTAGAATTAGAGCGATGGAACAAACCTCGGCTTAGGACAGGTGGATGCCTTAATTGGATGCCAAATGTCTGAGGCCAGGTCCGTCGAGGCAGATGGATATCGAAAAAGCTCACGACTATCAACTTCCTCGTAGTAGCCACTGGGTGGTTGGTGGTCCTTAGGTTACTAGGGGCCATTAACTAGCTAATGATAGTCAGCCGTGCTTTCCATGCAGCATGGCTTATAGAGGTAGGGGCAGTAGGATCTGTCAGTCATGGAGTCGTAAACCTGCGATGCACGTAACAGCTTGCTGTTAAACGAGTAAGTATGGAACGACGTGATTATGGAACCAGTTTGGGGAATAGTCCATCCAGCGGATTCCCGAACCGTGTACCGTATGATCAAGCGGAGAAGTGCCGCTATATAAATGGGCATGAAATCCCAGGAAAGGTCAGGAGTTGAATCAGCGGGGGAATAGGTAGTTGACGATACTGCAACGCAGCGGTCTCCTAGGAGAAAGCGATAATTGCTATGCAGTGAAGTCGGCTGCATTACTAGGCCCCTAGAGCTGATGTAGATTCCAAATGGCAAAAGGAATAAGCCATAGGCAAGAAATGAAAGAAGTAAAGTTGATAATATGCCCTAAGTCGACAAAGGCAGACCATTAGGAGATTTCTGAAGAGTGATCAAAAGGTAGGTGTAATATGAGACAAATAGGGTCGGGGGGCGCTTAGAGGGAACTGATGACGCGGGTAGAGTTTGCTGATAGGATTCAGATGTGGCTTCCTAGTGATTCATGATCTCTCCGCGTGATAATTGCTCGTACCCGTCGGATTGCCAAACCGTGAACCAAGTGATCACCTCCTATCTCTTATTCGATCGATGACGGACCATGGCTGGAGTTGCTCGAAAGTACTGTTTGACGGGATCTCGGAATATACTTCATAAAGCAATGGGATGGTGATGATCGAGGAGGAGGAGTATGAAGGGACCCGAATGGATTGGGCTGGAGAAGACGAAGGGCAGAATCAATCAAAAAGACCACAGTGGAATAAAGTGATGGTATAGAAATGCGGAGTTTTGCGCTCTAATTTCTAATCGCTGAATTGCGGGCCGGAGGGCGTGGCGGACCAATGAGGTCTGCCCGCCAGCCGGTCCGCCTTTTTTTGTGGTTTGAATGGGGAGTGAGTTGTGCTCTGCCAACCGAGGAAGAGATAAGAAAGAGTGGGTATGATTGGCTTAAGATTAAAAATGGGATGCGAGGAGGAAGGATGTGTTCAGCCGGATGGAGCTCATCCAACCTGTCATGTCGTAACTTCTTGAGAGAGAAGCCGGCGGATTCAGAAACTTATGGTAAATCACTTCTATTGATATGATGCGTAAACAGGATCTGAGTCCAAGCGAAGGAATATCGCTATAAAATTATTCACCTCGGAGGGCACCATACAGAAATGTTAGTGAAGAGCATAGCGAACTCTAGTACCCCCCAAGCGCCGTAACCTGCCAGTTCCCGAGGGGATAATGATGACAACGACCCGATGCGTGGTACTGGGATTTGGCTCGTGTGTGACCATGGGACCGAGATGGAAATGAGCTTTTGCTCTGACTGCTCGGTCTCAGTTGGCCACAAAAAACGAGATGCCCGTGTGTAATGTACAGCAGCGGTAGCCATCGCTAATCAGGCCGGCGGGCTTGCCTTAACCAGCTGGCTCAAGTTGAAAATACAACTATAAAAATTCTCTCGTCGTAGGGTTGCGGACGTTGCCAGGCGGCAATCAAGATAGGCGGAGTAGGGCCTATCCCTAGACGTCCGAACTACTAGAAGATGGCGCCTCTAGTAAAATAAGCCTTGTGTCGAATGGCAACACGACATTGACTTGTTAGAAGCCAAAGATTCGTGGGAACAAGTATGAAGAATAATAAAGAAATTAATGAAAATGAGGATAGTGAGCAGACGGTATGCGGAGAAATTAAGGGAAGGGTAGAGCAGATGGTAACGGTGTCGAAGGATATTAAGAAATTTGTGTTGGATGATTTCTAAAGCAGCGATGTCATATATTTTAGATAAGGTATCAGTAATGGAGGAAATTATGAGTAAATTGATAGCGGAGAGAGCGGAAGCTAGAGGTAGGGCGGAGGAATGTAGAGCGCTGGTAAAGTTAATGGCGGTGATGCCTAATGTAACTAATACACCTGTACCATAGGCTAGTGTGAGTAGTAAGGTGGTACAGCCTGTGAAACAAAAGGTGGAAGTGAAGACATTTGCGGTAGCAGTAAAGAGTGATAAAGTAGAGAAAGTAGAAGAGATAATGAAGAAGGTAGACGAAATGAGTAGGGATTTGAAGACGGTGAGTGTAAGGACGGTAAGAAAGATAAAAGACGGAGTAGTTATAGAGGCAGCAACTCAAGAAGATGCTAAAAATATAAGGACGAATATTAAAGGAAAGAATTTGAAAATAGCGGAGGCTATGAAAATTAATCCAAAAATAATAGTATTTGATGTGCCGAAAGAAGTTACTGATGCGGAATTATTGGAAGATTTATATAATAAAAATGGAATGTCGAGGGTAACGGTGAAAGATTTTAATAATTGGGTTAAAGTAGATGGTCGGAAGAAAATGAGGCATGATTTGGATAATGTATTATTAAGTCTGAATGAAGAGATTGCGGAGTACTGGATAGGAAAAGGATATGTATATATAGGATGGAGGTCTTGTAAAGTGAAGGAGGTAGATATTGTCAAGAGATGCTTCAAATGTTGCAGTGTGCATCATAGGGCGGATCAGTGTAAGGAAAGAGGGTATGTTTGCAGAAAGTGTGGCGAAAGTTCACACGATGCGAGGATTTGTAGAAATAGAATGAAATGTAAATCATGTCTTGAAAAAACAGGGAAAGAACTGGCGCATGCAACGGATTCTGGAGATTGTCCAGAATATAAGCGCAAGCTGGAATATTTGAAGAATAGAGAGATGTTTGATGTTTAGAAACATTAAAATAATGCAGTTGAATTGCCAAAGATCATATGTAGTAATTTGCGAATTAGGAGTATTAATGAAAGAGGAAAATATATCGATTGCGCTAATACAAGAACCATATATGAGGAATGGAATAATAGTAGGAAAACCAGGAACTATGAGAGTAATAATGAAGCAGGATGGTAAAGCGGCAATAATAATAGCGAATGATGAAATAGAGAGTACAGGTAGGAAAGAATTAATGAATAAGTATATAGCGTGTGCTATGATAAAAATAGGGGTATGTGGAATGGTTGTTGTATCAGTTTATTGTCAATTCGGAGAGGATGTTGAAATTATAAAAAGGAAAATGGAGAATGTAATAGAGAAAGTAAACGGGAAAGCAATGATTTTAGGAATGGATGTAAACGCGGTTTCTCCCATGTGGTCGAGTGAAAATATAAGGGATGGTGAAAGATTTAAAAGAGGTGAAATAATAGGAGATATGATGGTAGTTAATAATTTAATAGCTATTAATGAATATAGTGAAGATTATACTTATAGTGGACCAATTGGAGAAAGTGATATAGACGTAACAATTATAAACGAGAATTGGAAATTTGAGACTACATGGAGAATTAGGAGTGAAATAGGAATAAGTGATCATAACGTGATAGAAATAGAAATAAGTTTTAATGAGGATGTTTGGCAAAATAATGTTAACAAAACTAAATGGTCAGTTGAAAATGTAGATTGGGAGAGTTATATTGCGATATTAGAATGAAAAACTGAAAATTGTGATATGGTCAGTTTATGAATTGCGATATAAATGAGCAAATGAATATCGTATATAAATGGGGAATGTTTGAAAACGGTTAAAGTAAATAGTAGTGAAGGGTGGTGGAATGAAGAATTAAATAATTTACGCAGAGAAATAAGGAAGTGTAGGAGGAAGGTGCAAGTAGGTAGGAGAACAGGATTAAATAATGATGAAAGAGAGGAAGAGTATAGGAGGAAGTGTAGAGAATATAAAAGTGAAATTAAAAATACGAAAAGGAAAAGATGGGAGGAATATGTTAAGAATGATGGCAATGCGGATCCATGGAGTAGTGCATTTAAAATATGTATGGGGAAAAGGAATAATAATGGAGTAAGCGTGATGAAGGTAGGAAATAGAGTTACAAAAAGTTGGGTAGAGACAATAAATGTCTTAATAGATGGATGGTTTCCTCCAGGAAGGCAAGAAGGAGAAGATGAAATAGTAGAAGGAAATGAATTTGATGAATTTACAAGAGAGGAAATGAAAGATGTGATATTAACTTTAAAAAGCGGAAAAGCGCCAGGTATCGATGGAATCGAAAATGGAATGATAAAGAGAATGTGGGTTGCAATACCAGAGTATGTTAAGAATTTGTTTGATAATTGTCTGAGGAATGGAATTTTTCCGGATAAATGGAAGATAGGAGATGTGGTGGTATTATTAAAGGGTATAGACAAGGATAAGACAGATCCAAGATCATATAGAGCAATCAATTTGCTGAGTGGTCTTGGAAAATGTTTAGAAAAATTATTAGTAAATCGTATGGAAGGAAGATTAGTAAGAAGGAGTTTTTTCAATTTGGGCTTAGGAAGAAAAAATCAGTAGAAGATGCGTGGGCAAAAGTACAAACAATAGTTAAAGAAGGTAATGATAAATATATATTAGGAATATTTGTGGATTTTAAAGGTGCGTTTGATAATTTAGAATGGGATATAGTGAAGCGAACATTGAGAGAAAATAATTGTACCGAAATGAAAATGTGGAAGTCGTATTTTGATAATCGAATAGTATTAGTTGAAGGTGAAACGGAAAAGGTTGAAAGAAATATCAATAGAGGATGTCCACAGGGATATATTTGTGGACCCTTTATGTGGAATATGGTGATGGACGATTTATTGAATGAGTTAGAAGATGCGGGATGTGCGGTTATTGCGTATGCGGATGACATATTGATATTAGTGAAAGGAAGTAGTAGAAATGTGATTGAGCGTAAAGAGGTACAATGGATGACTAGAGTTGTGAATTGGGGAAGTATAGTAGGAGTTGAAGTTTCGAAAACGAAAACTGTAATGATGATGATGAAAGGTAAATTGAATAGAAGTCCGATTGTAAAAATGAATGAAGAGAATATAAAGATGGTAGATGAAGTGAAATATTTAGGAATAAAAATAGGAAAGAATATGGATTTTTCGGTACATTTGAATGAAATAAATTAGAAAGTAAGCGCGGTAGAAAAATTAGTAGAATAATCGGAAAGAATGTGGTTTGAGAAAGAAGGCAGTAGCAGTGTTATATAAAGGATTGTTGACTTCATGTGCATTATATGGAGCGGCAATATGGTATAAGGAATTAAAGAAGGTAAAAATGAAAAAAGCACTAGATAAAGTGGAGAGAGTAGGGTTATATGCAAGTTTAAGAGTATGTAGAACAGTATCAACTCATGCAATGGATGTATTAATGGGAATATTACCATGGAGATATGAGGCTGTAAAAAGAGGAATATTGTATAAAATGAAAAAAGGATTGGTTAGGAAATATGCGGATTGAAGAGGAATTAACTGAAAGAAGACAAGAATGGTTGGAATTAGGAATAAAGGCAAAGAAATTATATTTAGATGAAATAATAGTAGATAGTTTTCACCGGTTCTGGGTCTCCGCCCAAGGCCAGAGGAGTGCGACCTTGGGCGGAGTGGCCTTGGAGGTGACCTTGGGCGGGAGTGACCTTGGACGGGAGTGACCTTGGAGGTGACCTTGGGCGGAGTGACCTTGGTAGTGACCTTGAGGGGAGTGACCTTGGGGGTGACCTTGAAAGGAGTGACCTTGAAAGGAGTGACCCTGAAAGGCGAGAGGAGTGGCCTTGAGAGGTGGCCTTGAAGGCGACCTTGGGGTGATCTTGGGGTGACCTCGGGAGTAGCCGATTAGAGTGCTTGATGCCCTCGAAGACTGAGTCGACCTTGGGGGTGTAGTGTCCTTGAGAAGAAGAGTAACCTTGAGAGGAATAACCTTGGTGAAATGCCCTCCCCCAACCTTGTATGCGCATAATCGTTGTCGACCTTGTCCCTCCCCTATTGAAGGCTTTATCGTGAAAGTGGGGTGGGTTAGTAGTAGGGAGCGTTATGGCACAGCTCCTTCACATATAAATTCTTCATCAAACCACATGTATCACAGTTTTCTGAGCATCGCCGATTAAGAGTAGTGCTCGCGTTTATATCTTAATCAGCCAGAATGTTGTTCTGTAATGTTTGCGCCCAATCGTTCTCACGCAGTGATAACTTACGACGCCATCAAAGAGTGTCATGCATAGGGAGTGCTGGTCCATCTCTTTCGAAAAAGCCTCGGTTAGATGCTACACCATCAACATCTACTTATTTGGAAATATGTGCATGTTGTGACAAAACTATTCCTGCCGATAAGATGGCGGCCCATAAAAGAACATTGGAACATCGGACGAATGCTTGCTCCAATTACATGAACGGTGTATACGTGATTGAGAGCGCATTCAAATGTCGCATCATCAGCTACAGATTAGAATGTAGGAGTGAAACATTGGATTACAATACATTTTTCAATGAGAATAGATCAACAATAACTTTGCTGTTGGAGAATATGCTTTCGATTCATCATTCCATCAAAGTCAATATGGAAATGTTTGGTAGATACGTTATTGAAGCCAAGAATATACGTGATAATAAGTCCTTCATGACGCCGAACCATATAATCGACTCATCATTGGATTTGGGGTCTATCATCGATACGTTCAAGGATATAATTATCAACCTAGCAACAGAATTCGAGGAACGCGATTCCGGTAAGTTCAATTCATTTCAAGATTTGTTTCCCTATGAGTAGTACCCATCTGATTATGGAAAATAGTAGCTGAATAATGATATTGTTACAGGTTGGGCTCTAGAGAAGATACTGTTCCTTGAAATCAATGTGAACAAATATAGTCCACTACGTGGGTGTTCCTACATAAAACTCCCTGGTTTCATCGAGAGCAAGAAGGCGGTAGTGAATGTACGCAATCAGGATGAATGCTGCTTTGCTTGGGCTGTCACGTCTGCACTGTACGCAACAAACACCAAACCTTGTGAGATGTCTTCGTACCCGCATTTCTCTACGGTTTTGAATCTGGTGGGTATAGAGTTTCCTGTTAAAGTAAAAAATATTCCGAAATTCGAGATTCTGAACGATTGTTCCATCAACGTTTATGGTTTAGAGAGTATATTTGAGAATCAAAGGGTGAAATATCAGGTGGTTGGCCCACTCCATTACGCTAAGAAAAGGTTCAGTAAGCATGTTAATCTATTACTTGTCTCAGACGATTCTGGAAATAGCCATTATTGTTGGATAAAGAATCTATCTAGATTAGTGTCTAGTCAAATGAGCTCCACTGAACATAAAAAATATTTGTGTGATGGGTGTTTGGTGAATTTTTCAAATGAAACTAAGTTGTTACGCCATCGATTGAGCGACTGTAATCTCACATTGACCACGACGCCCACAACTGAATTGAAAGTTGATAAATTTGGTAATGAGATACCCGAGAATATTCTTAAATTTGAAAATTTCGAGAAACAGATGAAGGTGCCTTTTGTAATATACGCCGATTTTGAATCAGTCTTGAAGCCAATACAATCTTGCGAGCCAGATCCGAAAAAATCGTTTACTAATAGAACATTCATACATGAGCCATACTCTTTCGCATATATCATTAAATGCTCATACGATGATTCTATAACAAAATTTGTTTCATTTCGTGGAAAGGATGCAGCAAAGAAATTTGTATCTAGCGTAGTTCGCGACTCGAAAAATATTTACAACTCATACCTGAAACATATAGTTCCAATGAAGAAATTGACGTCAGCTGAAGAGGCAGATTTTGCTAATGCCACCGCATGTAATATTTGCGATGAAACTTTCGAATACGGCGATATAAAAGTAAGAGATCACTGCCATTTGACCGGAAAAAAAAAGGTTTGGAGCTGCA